TTGGAATTGAAAGGGAAATATACTATACAAGGCGATTCACGTAGCGTTGGATTTTTTAATAAAACATATTTTTGCAAAAAATTATTATGAGTAGTAACGCGATAAACGGGTACCATTTTTTTGCGAGTGGCATTCGGCGACCTTGCTAAGGTCTTATGATATCGCAGAAAATAAATAATGTTTTCGCAACAAACCGGACCAAAAACCAAATATTAATGCCACAAAACAGTGCATTAGTTGAAGAAAATTTTCAACGTAAGCGAAATGAACAACAGCTTCATAATAGTTGGAAGTTATCGGAGTCCGACAAGGTGAATGCCATTAATAGGGAGGACCAAATCAAAATCCAATTAAATTCAATACATAAAATGTATGAATAACTGAGCAAAAAATGCGCAGATTTGGAAAATAGACTATCTAACAATACTGAAGAAAAAAATAATACCACACCGACGAAGAAGAACTCGATTCGAGTGAAAAATGGGAAGAAAAGCTAACACCACCACAACAACAAAGACAAGCTAAACCTAAAAAAGTACAAGTATCTCCACCCATTATAGTAGACAACATTAATAACTTTAATAAACTTCATGTTATGGTGAATATTCCCGGCATTCTTATGAGCATAACCAAAATGGGCCAAGTAAAGTTATCGCTAACAAACTCCATCATTGTATAAAATGAGAACAAATTATCGAGAAAATGAGGGAACGTGGCTACAAACTTATTGAACCCACTCCCAAACTAAAATGCAAAACTAAACCGTTAAATATGTTTCTGCTTTCATTTAGACATGGCGAAAGTCTAAGGCATTACAGATATACGAGGTTTGTTCAAAAAGTATTTATTTATTACCCCCCCCAGATATAATACACTTGTGGTAACGTTTTTTCCAATCCTCGAAGCACTTTCTGGTATAGCCTTGAGTTCTTCCAGCGATCGTCCCAAACCTCCTTCCTTTCTGGGGTTTCTTGAGTTTTGGGAACAGAAAAGTCGCAGGGTTCGATGAATATGGAGGCTGAGGCATGATTGTGGTTTTATTTTTGGCCAAAAAGTTAGTCACAAGCGATATTGAATGAACAGATGCATTATCGTGATTCCGCACGTTTTCTTCGTATTGCTTTTCACAAACGGGGGATTACTTCAAGCTAATACTCTTTATTGACCGTACAACCTTGTCTTAAAAACTCTTGATGTACTACGCCACGATAATCCAAGAAAACAGTAAGCAGAACCCTGACATTTGATCGAACTTGACGTGCCTTTTTTGGTCTTGGCGATTCTAGGCTCTTCCATTGGTTTCGACATCATGACTCGTATACCCATTCGTCACCTTTTTGAGCATATTAGTTTCATCATTGACGTCGTTTAAAAGCTCTTGAGCGATGCTCCTTCGACGATTGTTCAAAATTAAGCAGTTTCCGAACAAACTTTTCTGCTACACGTCTTCAGCTACTTCTCTAATAGTGATAAGACGATTTTTCAGCACTATTTGTTTCACTTCTTCATCGCTTTCATTAGAACAGCTTAAACCATTTATAAACATTTTTTTGCAATATGCAGTTGTCATTTCAAGTGTTTTGCAGCACTATATTCCATTGTTTACAAGAAATTTTATGCAAATTCTTTGTTTGTTGTATCTCTTATTACTGAGACACATTTTACCAACGAATCCTTCATTAGATTTAAGGGATTTAAATTATATACTATATATACTATACGTCCTGAAAATGCAGCAAAAGGAAGTAGTGCTATCATAATAAAGGAATCAGTTAAACAGCATCAGCAGATCGGATATAAAACAGAAGAATTCGAAGCTAGGGCTGTTAATGTTAAAATGACATCTTAGTTTCAGCAGTACACTGCCGGCCAAGACATGCTCTCTGAAGCAATCAATATATGGGGGATTCAGACTAACAACAACTAAGGGAAAAGAAACTTTTCGTAGCAACCAAAAAAGTAAAATGTGATACATTTTCAACTGGAAAGCCAACATATTTTCCTACAGTCCCAAATTAACTCCCATATTTAATAACGGACTAACAATTAAATAGGTAGAAGAACATTAACATTAATTAGAATTGTCAAGGGCGAAATTCTCACTCCAAGTAATTTCACAACGAACTTTCGCTCGTTCGAACGGGTCATAAATTGGGAAAAATCTAGTCGGTCTATACTTTGTTCGAGTGTCTTCGCGTCCTCCCCATTCGTTCCATCTTCAGTAGATTCAACAGGTAGGTCATTTGTTTTACTGGTCGCAGCCGATTCCTGCGGATGAAGGGAACAATTCCCTTCGCATTCAGACTAGGATCTTGTTATTCTTTTTGCGCAAATGTGTTTATCACTTGAAAAAATTACAAGTCGAATAAAAACTTTAATTACTCTATCAGTGATCGAAAATGTAATTCTTTTAAATATGTACGATTGCCTTAGTCATAATCCAAGTTTTACAGTACAAGAAAATGTTGACCTATGTGGCAGAATAGAGTTGGAGCTTTTAAAGGAACTTCTAGAACCACGAAGAAGAATTTAAAGGTTTTAGACGAGCTTTTAAAGTTAGAGATTTTGGAGCGTCTTTTAGAATTAGATTTCTTAGAGAAGCTTCTAGAGCTAGAGATTTTACTTAAAATCGTACTTGCTGACGTTGTATCTGCTTATGTACTGTATGAGGTTCGGAGCTGAAAGAAGGACAAGACGAATCACTGAACCTAGAATTAAAACACCTAACATCCGCCCTTCTCTCTAATAATTTCTGCCGTAAAATATTCATTGTCCTTTGTCTTTGCTTTTTTCGTCTCGAAAGATCAGTCGTTTTCCTAGGCGTGTCTTCCTTTCATAACTATTTCTTTTTACAATGAGCGGTAACTACATAACTAGCCCCTCGATCAACCCTCCTCCTTTCACATCCTGGACTTGGGACCAGGCAACGGCGAGAAGGAACCATAGAAGATGAGTCTCCAAACCAATGAAAATAAAACCAAATATATGGTCCAGAACAGAAATATAATTGGAGATCACAACCTTGAAAGAGTTAAATACTTAATAAGGACAGAATACATCAATAAGCGCCCTTTGCGACTTTATAATATCGAAAGAAGTCATCAGGCTAACGACTATCAATCTAGATATAAAGGTGATAAAGTCAGTAGTTATGTGCGGCTGCGAGACATGGGCGATGACTGTCCCATATAGGCGATAAAAGTCCTCCGAAAAATCATCGGGAAGACAAGCGAAAAGGCGAGCGGAACATGGAGGATGAGAACCAACAAAGGACTTGAATAGCTTTTCGGAGTCACTAATGTAACAAAATAACATCTGCTATGCGGATGATACAGTATTATTGAGCATTTCCTCTGAACACAACACTAAATTTAAAGAAGACCAAATTTATAATTGTCAGCAAGTGAAATATTGGAAACAATTGTCATGTGGCCAAGAAATAATAGAAAGAATTGATCACTACGAATACCTCGGATGTTGCCAGAGCATTGGAGAGGACATTGAACATTGCTTTATGGATCAGAGTGATGGACATTGCAAAAAGAAATACGGGTTTATCGTCGCGTACTTAGGATTTCCTTCACCATTAGGGTACGCACTGTTAATGTCTAAATACAACTACCGACCGAGATCTTCAACACAGTAAAGCGACAAAAACTGGAATACTTCGGACATGTTATGAGGGACGAGAAGCACAGGGAAAAATTGAAGGGCGGCGAGCACCAAGACGAAGACGGCTTAAGAACTTGAGAGAGCGGTTTCCAAAATACAGATAGCCAAAATGATTACCAACCTTCAATAGAGAACTTCATCAGAACAAGAGAAGAATACAATAAAGGAAATAAAATTCAGACGACTTCAATGGGCCGGCTAGTTGAGAAGGCTTGCAGACAACAGAGGCTTGTATGGAAAGATGTATCAACTGGAAAAGACCGCTGCGACGACCTCGACTTCGGTAGCGAGATAGCAGAGCAAAAGACCTGGATGCTATGGACATTAATAACTGTTGTCTAATCGGTTAAAAGTCACCCAGGATTGTAACGCCATGAAGCAGCAACAGCATTACAATTTTGTGATATCTATTTACACTTCACCACAACCTGCTAAACTGGAGAAAATGGGTCCGAATACATACACTTGCCATTGTTATCCTTATTTACATTCCAAACATCACTGACCACATATCAAAAGTTCTTACGAAATATAATATTAAAATCTGATTTAACAGTTGTTGAAAAAACTCTCAACATCCGCCAAAGACAATTTTCCATTTGATACACCAGGAGTTTGCAAGATTTCATGCACATGCTGCAAAGAATGCATTAGAGAAACAAGACTACAAATAGCAACTAGGCTAATAAATCATAAAAAAGCTGTAAGACTATGACAAATAAACTCATCAGCTACCGAACAAAATTATGAAATAGGACATCGAATATTATTCTAACAAACTAAAATTCTTGCGGGTATTCAAGTCTTCTATCAAAGAAAAATCCAAGAATCCATAAAAATATCTAAACAAGCAGAAAATCGTAACAGCGCCTCAGGTGTTTGACCCAAACAGTATATAAGCAGAATACAGAGTAGAATAGAAACCAGCTTCAGTGCAGCTTTGAAAAAGCCAACAGCCTAATTTGCAAATCCACTAGATTTGGAAATAGTATTACTATAGCCTGGGGGAGGTTCTTCGTCATTGGTATTGCCATGATAACGGTCTTTGTGGTATCGGAGTCATTTATGTCAAAACCAAATAATAATTCCCCACGACAGTCGTAAACTAATGTTTTATTGGGTTGGCGCACGTACCTGGTATTAGTTTTTGTGTGATTGATATGTATTTTTTTTTATGGTTATTGCTTATTGACCAATAAATAGATTTAGGCAATCGATACTGCCATCTGCAGTTTGTTTTGGTTAGTTTTGGTTAATTTGTAGATATCAATATCCCTAAAGTCATAAACAACATGTCATTTATTGAAAAATAATATGGGAACAGACATTCAGCGGCATTACTGAGCACACTCCGCATTCCAGGTATCCACGTCTACCGTTCCCCCGTCCATAATCTTCCTAAAATCGTCTAAGTTGCAGTTGAAGTCGCACCCGGGAACCTTCAGTTCTTCCGCTACCGCAGTTCTGTTCTTAAACAACACATTGATAAAAAATTCTTGGTTCAAACTCCTCAACTCCCAGATCACTGTAGACGCAAAGTCAGGTGCGGCGTCATTATATACCCCCATCGAGTTGGTCACAGAAGCCACGGTCAGATCGTGAGCGCTGAGCATCAGGAATTTGGGATGATCATCGTCCCGTTCGCCGTTCAACGCTTGGGATTTTAAAGAGTACAGATGGTCGAATAGATAATCGAAGAACGGTCCGGTTTCTAGTCTCGCCAGTTCAGGAGTGAATGTCGGTAATTGGAACGTCACTGCAGACATGGCTACGATCTGGTGCCAGTATTTCCCTGCCCAAGTAGGCAAAGGTAAACCTTCGTCTCTGTAGATCGTCAACGCTGACAGTATACCCGCCGCGTCATAGACTTGTAGGCTTGTCGAGCCCGTCGCCTCGGTTAGAGCATTGAGCACCTCTTGGTTGTCTCTGGCGAATTTCGTCAAAACTTCGTTGGTACCGAGTTCCGCAAGGAGTCTTATGTATTTTGGACAAGCGACGTTGTATGCCAAAAGGTAATCGGTGGAATAGTCGACGGTATGGATAGGAATCGGTTGCCATGGAATAAAAGGGTTCCACACTTGATCGTCGAGTGGTGGGTAGAGCCCGGCCAGGTTCGAAGCGGCTGACATCAAAGTCCTGTCCACGTCGGTTGATCTGACGTAGATATCGCTCCTGTTATATCTAATTGGGAGGAAATTCTGATAGCGTCTACGTAGCCATCGGCCGAGCTCATATTGACGAAGTTTTCCTCTCTACAAAATATAGTGAACTCGTGGTCTAGAAGAAGATTTAGATGTTGCTACTTACGTTGTTGAGCATTCCATAACCGTCGGGCCATAAAGCAGAATTACCAAAGTAAGGATCGTTTGGCCAGGAGCTTAAAGGGGACCGGTCGCCGTGTCTGAACAGCTGCCAAACCAAAGGTATGTAATATCGAGGCTTGCGCACACAATGCAGACTTACCACCACAACTCCATGGAGCGTGCTTTCCTCTCTCGCTAGCCAGGGAAACGACCAAGTCACCCCGACGAAAGCGCAGAGGATGTAGATTCCGTAAACCATGTCCAGACGGGTAGGTGCGGCTTGGTGACGATAAATCTCGCCTCCGACTTTATACCTTCTGAGGTATTGGGAGATGAGGATTAATTTTATTAAAAAGATTACGTCGGATCCGATAATCCGCGATAGAAAGCGAATTAATCCTGCTACAACGCCAATTGCAAAAAAACATCGTGTTGTCAGGCGAAAAAAAATGATTCGTATTTGTTTAATTTCAAGAACGTCGGTGGAAATTAACTCAGAAGAAGAATGAGCAAAGAGAATTGTAGAATGAGTTCTAAATTCTATGTATTGTTGAAGTAGTATCTTGTCAGTCTAAAAAGGAAATGGACGCACTTTACAGACATTTGGAAACGGTTAATAAGAGAATAAAAAAGTAGCCATCTTTTTAAATTTAGTTGCAGACCATGGCTTCTAGTTGTTTAGTAGTTTTAGCTAAATTTCCTTAGGAAGAGGTTTGATGATTATTGTGTTCCAAAGACTAACAGCATCATCCAGAAGGATGGTCAGAATTTTGATAATTTTCTCACCGGGCTCATTCAGGCCGACCTTAACGATCAAAGTGATATGGTTAGGGACAGAATCGTTATGGGCACTTTTGATAGGCATGTTCAAGAGGCATTATTACTAGAATCAAACCTAGCTTTAGAACAGGCCATTAATTATTTGCAGAACGACTGAATCTCTCAAGCTAGAATGCTTAAGAATCAATGTAATATATGGCAGGACGTTTGCAAAATGACATGGAGAGAATCATTTTGCAGACGTGTGTAGAACATCAGAAAGGTTGAAAAATGTTAAAGATGCGAGAAAGAAGATTCACGAATTTGAAATAGATTCTGAGAGTGCAAATGTAAAGACTGTTGACTCTACTGCATGTAATATGCCGTTTAAAAACTTGGAAAACTTTTCATAGCCTCCTGAGATATTTGGGGAAAACGGAAATTAAACAATATTGATATTATTATTTTTTTTCTGATTTTATTTGAAATGATATCAAAAAACAAAAAAATATATTTTCAGATTTTATATTTGTTTTGAAGAAATCAACTTTATTTGTATATATGGCCTGAAAAAAAGTACACTCTGTATCTGATTCCATTTTTTATTACAAATCTTCTGGATTTTTCCTGCGTCGGTTGTTGTTGAATCGAACTTGCTGATGTTTCGCCAATCATCCTGTTGGGTTCTTCAGGGCTTAACTGAAACTGTTCACGTCAGCAAATTTGATTTGTAAACAACCGATGCAGCAGGAGTCCAGAATATTTGTAAATAGTATTACAGTGGAATGTGGAAGTTTCCTTCAAAAATTAAATTCCTCAATTTATCACATAAATTTTTTGTAAAAAGAATTGCATTTTTTCTATTTTTAAAGGTATTTTTAAGTAGGCAAATAACGAAATTTTTTTTGCAACAAAAACAAAGGAAAAATCAACGCAACTTTTATTTAATTTAAAGCAGGTTTCCGTTATTTTCTAAACATAGGTACGGTCTTCTAACTGTAGAACTGGAAACATCAAGTAACATATCTATTGTAATTCTGTTAAATGCGGTCGCTTCTCGCAATTGCAGTCCAGATTCAAAAAAATATTGATAAACTTTGTTTCTAACAAAACCCCACATGAAGAAGTGCAGAGGAGTTAAGTTTGGGGGTTGCACAGGCCAAAACATTTCGCTAGAGGTTCCAATCAACTTTGCAGGCATTCGCTGCGAATAATAATCTCAAACTTGGATAAAATTATCCGCGGAAGCACCATCTTGTTGAGACCAACAGCTATTGCCCTATGTTAGGGGTAAATTATCCATACAGTCTTCCAAATCATTTTTGCAGTAAATGAAATTATCGTTCTGCGGTTAATGAATTATAGGAAGTAAATGGACCTACTACTTTAGTTCCTAAAATTCCACACCACATATTAAACCCGGCGGTTGAAGGAGGGGACCATACTGCTTGTAAAACATTATATGGGTTTCCTTTGAAAATTCATTTTTTCGAGATCAAGCAGGCTTTATAAATGAACCATGTTCTTTTAAATTTCGAGCCATTTCTAAGAAAATGGACATGGCGGCCTTCTTTCTAAATATATATTAAGATATATTGCTTCCTGTATTTACAGTAGCCTTGTGGTACGTTAGCACGTTACATGTTACATGCCTATAATTGAAATAATAACTTCGTGCCAATGAGAAAGTGTTATTAGTTGTTTGGTTGCGTACGCGCTCCTTGTTGATAAAGGAGTGCAAAGGGGTACTGAGGAGGGTGGCTGAGGAGAGAAAGGTCACGTTGGTCTGGGTCCCGGGTCACACCGGTATCCGGGGCAATGAGGCAGCGGACGCCTTAGCCAGAGAGGGCTCCTCGCATAAGCATATAGGGCCAGAGCCCCGCTTGGGGATCGCCCCGTGTGTGAGGCGGGGAACTCTCGAAGCCTGGGCTAGAGACCGGGCCGCGGGGGGCTGGAGAGTTGCTTCGGGAATGAGGCAGGCGAGGCTTATGATGGATGGGCCCGCCCTTCCTCGGACCAGGGAGCTGCTTAGACTAACCAGAAGTGAGTGTAGAGCACTAACAGGGGCCTACACAGGAAATTGCAGGCTTAGGAGGCATCTTTGCTTGCTAGGCATTGGAGACGACCCGGAGTGTAGGTGGTGCATGGAAGGGGAGGAGACCCCGTATCATCTGCTCACCGAGTGCCCTGCCTTGACATGGGCAAGATTGGGAGTCTTCGGAACGGCCCTGATCGATCCGGACTCAGTGCACGAAATTGGGTTAAAGGAGTTGCTGACCTTCTATAGGAGGGGCGGCATTCTGGACTCCCTCTAGAGCGGCCTGGGGGCACAACGGGCCCATCTGGTGGCCTAAGTGCTTGGACGCACGCGAGGGCGCCCCCCTTTAATACCAATACCAATACCAATAGTTGTTTGATATATCGTCAAATAAAGACAGAAAAAAATAAAATCGATATTATCGAATTTCTGTTTTTCCAAATATCACAGAAGGCCAAAGAAAATTTTCAAGTTTCTAAACACACAAGAAAACAACATTCTTCTAATTTAACCTCAGCTGTATCTATAGCAAGTATGGTCTGTTTATAAATACAAGAAAATGACCAATTGCTTTCGAGTGGGATTATCCAAGGGTGGTCATTAGCATACAACGCAACAAGATTATTACCTAAAGTTTGGCAATTTAAATTCAGGTAAAATTGTGGTCCAAAATAGAAAACAATTTGTACCTACCTGTTTTTAATATTCTTTGGTTTGGTATACTACTTACTTTAAGTTTATTAGTAATCATTCTTATTTCGTGTGTAATACAACGTGTGTTGAATCGTGTGTAAATTATGCAAAATATGTGCGAGTCTAGTGTATCTCGGGAGATGCTCCCGCCCAAATGTAGAAAACACTATTCTATTGAGAGTAAGGAAGTTATAAACAATGTTTATTTGACTCTTATTGAACGTGGTACCAGCAAGCAAGCATCTTTAGAAGAGACGGCCACATTGACGAAAATTCCAACATCAACTGTATGGAAAATTGTGAATTTCAGCGAGGAAAAGAAGAAGCGATGCTGACATTTTCTCGAGTGTAGATGAAAGTGACCAAGATATAATACGGCGTTAAATTTACCAGTTATATTTTTTTTTTAGATTAGATTATTTAGATATCTTAATTAAGAGGCTTGAAAAAGATGAAACCGGTGTTAAATGGGGCAGAACTATCTTATGGAAGTGTATTCAACACATCGGTTTTAGATTTAAAAAAATTGACAAAAGGCAAGTTTTAATGGAATCTGTTAGAATTCGGAAATGGCGACTGGAATATCTAGAAAAAATTAGGAATTACAGAGAACAACAAAGGCCACTTATTTACTTGGTGAATAATTTTAAGTAATTTAAGTAGGTAATAAAAATAATTTGTAATTTTATTTTATTTAGATTTAAACATAAATACATACATAAATAAATAAATATTGTTTAGTATCTTTCCTAACAAAACCCCACATAATTAAATTCTAAGCAAAGTACGAACCTGTTCGGCCATGTTTCATTCTTAAACCTGCCCGGGTCTTTCCTTAATTCGTATCAGTTAGTCATTTTCTTACATCTATGAACAGACTTTACTAAGATTCCTATGTTTAGGATCCTTATCCTGGATACACTATGTAGTTCAGGGTAATGTAAGAAGATTTGTAAATAGTATAGAAGTTCATTTCAAAAATTCCAAATTCCATGTTCTATGCCCTATTTGTTTCTATGTAATTGGTCTAATTTTAACAGTAACATTTGACGATTGTGGTTGGCGCCCCTGGAAGGGAGTGTTTTAATTGACTATGGGTTGTTATTAAATGAGGTGCTGAATAAAAGTCTGAAATAGTCTAGATTTATTTATAGTTAGCCCGTTGTCCCGCAAGCAGACCGGAAAATTATTTTCCTGATTGACAGACGGCGCTGGTCGCCATTTTGCTTGGACAAGCGCGTCGCTTCGACGACGTATAACGACTTAGTGATAATAGTTACCGCCCCGGCAATTAACCGAGAAGCTTTTCGAGATTAAGATTTCAAGTCTCCGCCTGAAATTTATTATGTCCTGTTGCCCACCTGTAATTACTCAGGTTTGCGTTTATCGCCCGATTCTCCGCAATTTTCCTATCGATCTTCATTTTTAAGAGCGTACTTTCTAGCCTAGATGGACCATCGACGGAGGCTTAGGTGGACGTGCGTTAATGCGACAGACTTTGACGATTAAAATTATAGGTTCACCAGCAAAAAAAAAAAAAAAACGGGCACCAAAAGCTGATCCCAAATTCAAAGTGAGTTTACTCGCGTACCGCTAGTTTGATTTTGATTATTTGAGGCGAAATTTGGAACACTTTGTGGAATGCAAGAGCAGAAGCGGCTGTTGTCAATTGTAACCACGTTGTGTTTTGCTCTTTTAATCATGGCGTCTCTGTTTAAATTCGAGATATGCAGTTTTAAAGCCTGATGGGACAAACTCGTTCCTAGGCATAGTTTTCTAAGTTTCTCTCTCTCTC